GACCTTGGCACAAGAGAAATGCCACCAGGAATCGCAAGCGTCGCACTGGACAAAATTGTCCGCATCATCCGGTCTGTCACAGGCCACACAGTTGCTTTCCTCCAACGGGAAAGTCGTTCGAATCTGTTTTGGCATTGTTGTTTTCTTTGAAGATTGTCGCCGGAGGCCAAAGAAAATGCATCCACTGATGTTTGAGAGCTTTTATTACGCTTCAAAGCTGAAATTGTAACAAAGTTTATTTAACAATATTGCAAAATGTTATTGAAATGCAAATCTTACAAAACAGTGGGCCTTATCCACTTTGCAGGCCTCCAGAGAATGAGGTTATGTAGTTGGGAATTCTGTGTCTCACTAAAGTTATTAATATGTAATAATTACTTGTCAAAAAGCTAATTATTGTTACTTACATATGATGTGAATGATTGAGATGTACAAAGTTAAAATAATCAAACTATTACAAATTTTTAATAATAAAATAATACGAGGACTCAATCGACGCGTTTCTTTCTTCGCTTTTGACAGCTCTACACTTCCTAGCGGCTAGTGCATGCTCATTCCCGCAGGGCTTCTACACTCGGCAGGGTTGCCGATTCAGCTGCTGCGGTGACAATAACAGTGTTGTAGAATGGTCGTCCTACACACTTAGATTTTTCTACCGAGATCGGCTGTGCAAATCTCGGCAAAAAAAGTTTTACTGAGATATCAGCAAACATTTCATTTGTTTGCTGAGATTCAGCTAAGCATTATCCGAGACTCAGCAATCAAATGTCACTTTTGCTGAGATCTCAGTGAAACTTATTTTGCCGAGATTTGCACAGCCGATCTCGGTAGAAAAATCTAAGTGTGTAAATCCAACTTTGCTTTTGGTCGCTCACTTTCCCATACCGTTCCATTCTAAAGCCCTACAGTAAAAGTATGAACCGTCAAAATGCACCGCTTTGCTCGATTGGAACAGCTTTTTTCAGTTTTGTGGTGACAGTCGTCCATACTTTTACTGTAGGGCTTTATTCCATTCGCCTGCGGCACCACTCACTCTCATTAGAGTCGGTGTATAATGAGTCACGCCAAGAGAAAAACAGTTGAACTTGCATCACGGTTTTCGAAACATTCCAATTCTTTTCACTTGGCAACAGAGGACTTCTACAACAACTTCAAATGACTTCTAGCGAGAGAAAAAATATTGCGGCTGTAGTAAATCATTATATCAGTGATTTTGACAAATAATCTGAACAAAAAATAGTAGAAATTCTCATTACTAATCATTACCGAGCGTATCCCATGACAATTTAACGCTCACTGCGTGTTTATGCTCATTTTTTCGATTATATTTTATATTATATTGCAATACCTTTCGTGGATCTTTCATAGCATCGTAATGTTTATTTACTTTGCACGATAGGTAGCCGGTTTGACAGTTCAATAGGTAGACTTGGCTTCACTCTTGGCGTGACTCATTATACACCGACTCTAGATTGTACCACATGGCAACACTACACAGAAATTCAAAACAACCCAAAATTAAGTTCTTTTCACTCATCTCCCATGTTCCGTACAATTGGAAGATGGCCGTAAAAGCTCGACGCAGATGTCGCCACTGCATGATGATGATAATGTTGACAGGCTGCATATAAAATTCGTGAAAATTAGCATTAATTCTTAATTTTCATCAAGCCTGCGTAAAATCCTTCCAATATAACAATCGAATTGAAGAAGAAAATGTTTTCACGATCAGACTGATGTGCATCTTTGACTTTTCCAGATGAACTTTCATAAGATATATTCATTTCATTTTACAGCTGCACCAATGCTGCATCGTACATATGATGTAAACAGAAGTAAATTGCTCAATTACTCAAAATAAAGATGATTTGTCATCTTGTTATCACTTTGAAAACCATCTAGCACCATTTTATAGTATGGTGCGTGTTGAGTACATCAAGTTCCGTTACGTTTCCGACGAAAATTGTGAGTATCAATATGTTTACCTTAAAAAAGCCAAAATAAACATTTATTGAATATTTGCGTCCTATACAACCAATTCTCCATTACCACCAGCATGATACAACCTTTCCTAAGTTAATTTTCACTTTCATCTTAGTGGAAATTGCACATATTCACCATTTTCCGAAAAATGCAGCTGCGCAGGAGGTAGCCTCTCCTTGTGGGTGCAAACTTGTTATGCATAATTTGCCATGAAAACATCTCCGATCCACACCGAAATAGTAACAGCACAGACAAACAGACATAACACATTGAATGTTTCTCACTGTAAAACATCGTCGCTAAAACATTACCGCCATCTGTTGAGTACACTGTGGTGGGTAGTACGCTGAACAGATGGCGGTAGTGTGTAAACGTCAAACTCAAGGGAAATGACTATGCGCGCCACAGGTGGTGGTACTACCAACTACGATACTTTTAAATTGACCGTTAAATGCTTGTTCGATGAACAACTTGCGAGTGTTATGTGTGGTACTACCAACTACGATACTTTTAAATTGACCGTTAAATGCTTGTTCGATGAACAACTTGCGAGTGTTATGTCTGTTTGTCTGTGGTAACAGTTAGCTTTCAAACACGTTTTCTTACACGATTCAAGCAAAAGTTTCCACGGGAAATTATTAGTTTTTCATTATAGACCGATTTGCCCCAAAAATCGTCTGTTTTACTTGGAGAATTTGGAAACTATCCTCCTTCTAGTAGTTCTCACTTCGAAATGTTGGTGGCGAAAGCTTGGAAAAGTTTCACTGCAAGACGCCAATAAGCCAAATTTGGGTAAACCGGCTCAAAGTAGTTTGCATTTAAGCACGGCAAAAAAAGTTACCCATCGCTAAGTTATTTTCAATTTTTTCTACCCAAAATTAAGTTCAATTAACTCAAATTTGGGTATATCGCATATTACTCAATTTTGGCTTCTCGTACGGAACTAGACGGTTGAGTCGAATCTTTCGTTCTATTTTTGACAACAATAGCGAGAGAAAATGAAACGGGCTGAGGTCAAATAACTCAAATTTGAGTTTAAAAAACCCAAGCGGTGGGTAGTTTTGTTTTTCTGTGTACTATTGGATTGAACTAGCATTTTCACCAAATGTACTAGAATATTTTGGTTCTATCTCTTTCACTCTACTCAAAACTGAAATGCATAAAAAAATGACAAAATGATACGCACTCTTTGCACACTGTCAAAGAATCATTGTACACAAAATCAGCTTTGTTCAAATCAAAACAAAAAAACTAACCCATCTGGTGGATGATGGCACAAGCTTCCAAGAAAATTCTATTACAGTGAACCACATTATTTAAATGGATTTCTTCGCCAGTAAGTCGTCTGTCACTTCGTTTGTGCTTAATATGTGTACACATAAAACCCATATGTGACCGCACATACTATTCATTTGACTCATTAATTTCATGTGAAGCTTCTTTCGACTGTCCCGAAAACCCTCTGGCTTCCCAGGAAGAATCTTCTAACTTTCTTCAGAAGTTTCTTCCAATCCACCTTCACAAGTTTCTCCTGTCTCCTACAGGAAGTTCCTGTAAATGTTTGCCCGCAGTATCTATCGGATTCTCCTAGAAGTTAATTTCGTCTTCACCTGGAAGTTTCTCTATGAGCTTCCTGCGGAGGTTTTGTTCTTACTTCTATTGAAAGGTTTACCAAGCTTCTTCTAGCTTCTCCTGGAAATGGCTACTTTTGCAATTTTCTTCACATTTCCAAAAAAAATCTGGCTTCCTCTAGAAGCGTCATCTGATTTTCCTGAAGTTTTTTTAAGCTTCACACCTCTCAATATTGTTCTACGAAGATCGTTGGATGTTTTTTCTGACTTTTCTTAGATCTTTCTTCAAACTTCCTCTAGAAGCGCTTCTTTCTTCTTTATCTGCATGTTTCTTCGGATTGATTCAGAAGCTATGATTTTCTTGGAAAAGCCGTTATTCGTCCAAAAGTTTAAATTTTCGCCTTCAAAGTTGATAAAAATTAAAAATTTATTAAAATATTAAATACCGATAAATATTGCGCATTTTACACCAAATTAGACTCCTGTGCAAAAAAATAATTGCACAGAAATATATTCGCACAGGCCAGAAAATTTAAAAATCGAATTATTTGAAAGCAGTAACAGCTTTTGAACATTACTAGCAAGCTACCCTGTAGAATTAAAGCTCTAGAAAGCATTAAGAAGCTCCATATTTATGTGACCAGTTTATGACCAGTGCGAAAATATTACTGTATAGACGAGGCTCGGTAGCTCAGTGGCTCGCTCAGTGGTTACCGTTTCTGCTTACTTAGCAGAAGGTCGGGAGTTCAATCCCAGGCCCGTCCCCTTCCTTGCAATTTTTCACTTTGCCTTATTCTATACCCACTAGATTTTAATGAAAACAAATTCTTCTTTAACACCGATCGCATCACTTACCACAGTGTGGGTCCTGATCTAAAAATAGAAATTGGATGAGTGCGCGCGCGTGTGTGTGTGTGTGTGTTTGTGTATTATAATCGCTCTACCAAAAAACGATCCCTGCGTGTGCGTGCAACCTTTCCCCACATCCAACATCCCAGTGATTTCTCGTGAAAGCGCAGAGGATTTCTCGGTTTTCTTCACAGCGAGTACCACGTCAACACATTCCTTCCCATTCCCTAGTTGACCTGCATTCGGACACGGCCGGCGCTGGTATTGCTAAATATTAGATCTCCAGTTCTTACACATTGAGGATGAATGTTAGTCCCAAACATCATCTGTTGGTTCTCTGTGTAATTGCAGCTGATCTGGTAATAACAGAGCAGCAACCGTGGGCGGTCAATATGATTTGATTTGATTGAAAATATTACTGTATACTTATTTTTAGCACAGAAGTCTAATCAGGTGTGAAATCCGCAATACCGATTTTTTTAAACCTTTGATACCGATAAGCTTGAAAACCATCTGGCAACGTTGGAGAGCGCAAAAATAGGGAAAGTTTTCATTTTGGGAAATCAAAACGCATGCATTGAATCTGAAAATCGTTTATGACCTCTTTATTTAAGAACCGTAAAATACACATATGTTATTTTTTAACTGTCCTGATGCAGTGCGTTTTTAACCGTGAACTCAAACATTTCCTTGTTGATTGATTTTAGATGCTGTATTTCCTTTCTCAATTTAATGATTTCATCTTGATTGTTGGGTATATTCCCATTTGGGACGCTGCTCGTTGCACCTTCTCGGTCATTGGTTGATACGGTATCCCGTACATTTTCCTTTACTTCAATTTCCACTACAAGGTCGTCAATCTTGTCGCTGGGATATACCATCTTCTGGAATGGCTGAAACAGCGGATTAAGTTTAATTTCCTGATCGAACATTGCTTTTGGCGTAAGCAGGAACTGTGCATTGGTGACGGTGCCCTTATGTGGAATGACTCGCAGCTGCTGACGACTTTTGGTGTGCCACAAGAAAACGTTTTCGTCAGCTCCTCCTGATAGAAGAGTTTCTCCGTCTATGGAAACGGAAAGACACGTTACGGCTTTCTTATGTCCAAGGAAAACATTTTTTTGCTGCTGTTTCCGATCTACATGATATTCCTTGATACGAGGCGGTGATAGCAGGTTGAAGCAATATATGGGACCTTCGCTTGTTCCTAAGAACACGCCGGATTCCAGCGTATCCATTGTAACAGAAGATAATGGATCTTGGAAGACCAAGTTCAGTAGCATAGTGCCAGACGATAGGTCGTATACTTTACACGACCGATCGGCAGAAACCGAGCAAAACAATGCTTTCATTCCACCTTTTCCAACAAATACATCTGTAACTGGAAGAGCGTGGTCCGAAAACGAATACAAAGCATTTAGCGATTGTTTCTGATAAACTCGTATGACATAAGACAAGCTCCAGACAAGTACCATTCCATCTTGGCCAGCGCTTATGAAATGAGTCCCATCATCCGTGAATCGAAGAACATTGACTGCTTGGTAGTGTCGGGAAATCGTAGCCAGCATAGCACCAGTGGCGAGCTGATAGACATTGATAGTTTCTTGCACTGCTACGACGCAATATGTACCATCCGGCGACACTGCGACTGCTGTAGGACGACCCGGAAGGATGAATCTAGTAGCAATGGCTTCGTGACGGTTAATGGGCCAAATGTGCAGCATCGGTTTTACCATGTTACCCGTCAAAATGAACTGGTTAGCTATCGTGGCCAAAGTGTGAGCTCCGGGTGCGCCGCCACCCTTGTACGAAATCAGATGCGTTCCCGTTCGTACGTCCCACACGCAGCAGCTCCACAGCTGGTCACTGGAATCACTCGTTACTGCTACTTCCACGCAATCTGACATTTTTTGTCCAGAAATAATCGAATACCAAGCAATTTAACGAAAATTTTCCTGTATTGATCTATCGAAGTTACAGAAATAATGAAGCACGTTGCGAGCAAGAGCATTTTCAAAACAAACCGATAGACCTTTTTGACGTTAAACGTCTTTTTCTATCTAGCACACATGGATGAATGAACGGTTTGTTTTCCCACTAATCTGCTTCCCTCACGGAAAAACGAGTTTATGCATTGATGACTACTTTTTTAACCACTTTTGGGAGCTTGTTCGAGCTGTCATAGAGTGGTTGAAATTTATAGCAAAAAAGTGTATAGAATTTAGACATTTTCAGAGAAAACCATTTTTCAACAAAAGTGTTTAAATTTTATTCACTGGTGGCTGAAAAAAAACTTGGGAACAATTATTTTCCGAAAAGCAGCGGCCATCATTGGCCATCAGCTAGTGAGCTGCAGATTCAGCTGCTACAAGCGTTGTCCGGTACGGTTGGACATGCCTACTGCAATATCCTGTCGCCGTGTGGGATCAGGCCAAAGATATGGCCGGTGCTAATAGTAAGTATATCTACACAGCAAAAAAAAATTACTATCGATCAACGTAATTCAAGCTGATGTATGAAATAATGATGTAATAGCAAAAATCAGATACAACATTACATCAATGGATGTAATTTTGTTCGCAAAATCGGTATACATTGTACAACGTCATATTACACCACCAGCGGAATTACCTCTGTGCAGCTGTTTGGATGTAATATTCAACAACTTTTTTTTCTGTGTAGCAAGGTACATTATTTTGTAACTTTTGATCCCCATTACAGAGGGCTTCAATCGGCAGCACGACGATCCGAATCTACTCTCATTATTTTGTAACTTTTGATCTCCATTACAGGGCTGCCAGCGGCACCACGACGATTCGGATCGAGTTCGTCGGGCAACGCAACGGAATGATTGCCGAGCACGACACGGGAAGGTCGACGAAGGAATCGTGAAAAGAAACATCCGAGTTCCACCTGGACGGACGGGATGTCGAGCGATGACAAAATGGCCGACATTGTAGTGTCTTGAAAACTTGAGTTAAATGGTGTGATCTTGCTCTGCCCAGATGTACCTTCTTATTGTTTTTATTGTACAAGAAATAAATATTACTTTTTGTTGATTTTTATTTGAATGTAATTGTTTGTATAATATGTTGAAAATACACGAAACCAACCATTTAAAATCGTTCCGGTGTATAAAATTTAACCACTTTTGAGAAAATCGCCTTTACTCATTAATGATTAAAATTTAATCACTTTCGAGAAAAACGCGTTTATTCATCCGATGAGTAAACAGCGTTTATTCATTTTATGAATATGTGCGGGTTTTCTCGAAACTGTTTAAAATTTAAACATTAATGCATACTTTTTTCTTAGCGTGCTCTTGATCGCACTCGTTCGATTTAAAAGGTGCAGTATAGTGTGCGCCGATTAAACGTCAAAAAGCTCTATAGCGTGCACGCTAACTTGAAAGTACCCATTAATGGTTGAAAAAGACCCATTTTGAAGAAAAGTTAAATGAGTAAATTTTTTACCCATTAATGAGTATCTGTTACCCATTTATGAGTAATTGTTAATCATTAATGGGTAACAGATACTCATTAATGGGTAAAATTGTTTAATCATTAATGAGTTAAGCCACTTTTTTTCAAAATGGGTCTTTTTTTACTCATTAATGAGTACTTTCAAGTTAGCGTGTGTACACGGAAAACGAGTTTATGCATTAATGACTATTTTTTATCCACTTTTGGGCTGGGGGGGGACGTGCTGTCAAATCAGCCTACTGATCATCTTGTATGAAACTGGTTCCAAACGTAAACAAACGCTTTATGTTTCTTATGGCTTGTTTACGTTTGGAACCAGTTATGCGAGGTAGGCGAAGATTGTTCGTATTTGACAGCCACCTCCCCCCCCTTGCTTTTGGGAGCTTGTTCGAGCTGTCATAGAATGGTTGAAATCCGGGACGTTGAAATTTCCCACACACGGAAAAACGAGTTTATGCATTGATGACTACTTTTTTAACCACTTTTGGGAGCTTGTTCGAGCTGTCATAGAGTGGTTGAAATTTATAGCAAAAAAGTGTATAGAATTTAGACATTTTCAGAGAAAACCATTTTTCAACAAAAGTGTTTAAATTTTATTCACTGGTGGCTGAAAAAAAACTTGGGAACAATTATTTTCCGAAAAGCAGCGGCCATCATTGGCCATCAGCTAGTGAGCTGCAGATTCAGCTGCTACAAGCGTTGTCCGGTACGGTTGGACATGCCTACTGCAATATCCTGTCGCCGTGTGGGATCAGGCCAAAGATATGGCCGGTGCTAATAGTAAGTATATCTACACAGCAAAAAAAAATTACTATCGATCAACGTAATTCAAGCTGATGTATGAAATAATGATGTAATAGCAAAAATCAGATACAACATTACATCAATGGATGTAATTTTGTTCGCAAAATCGGTATACATTGTACAACGTTATATTACACCACCAGCGGAATTACCTCTGTGCAGCTGTTTGGATGTAATATTCAACAACTTTTTTTTCTGTGTAGCAAGGTACATTATTTTGTAACTTTTGATCCCCATTACAGAGGGCTTCAATCGGCAGCACGACGATCCGAATCTACTCTCATTATTTTGTAACTTTTGATCTCCATTACAGGGCTGCCAGCGGCACCACGACGATTCGGATCGAGTTCGTCGGGCAACGCAACGGAATGATTGCCGAGCACGACACGGGAAGGTCGACGAAGGAATCGTGAAAAGAAACATCCGAGTTCCACCTGGACGGACGGGATGTCGAGCGATGACAAAATGGCCGACATTGTAGTGTCTTGAAAACTTGAGTTAAATGGTGTGATCTTGCTCTGCCCAGATGTACCTTCTTATTGTTTTTATTGTACAAGAAATAAATATTACTTTTTGTTGATTTTTATTTGAATGTAATTGTTTGTATAATATGTTGAAAATACACGAAACCAACCATTTAAAATCGTTCCGGTGTATAAAATTTAACCACTTTTGAGAAAATCGCCTTTACTCATTAATGATTAAAATTTAATCACTTTCGAGAAAAACGCGTTTATTCATCCGATGAGTAAACAGCGTTTATTCATTTTATGAATATGTGCGGGTTTTCTCGAAACTGTTTAAAATTTAAACATTAATGCATACTTTTTTCTTAGCGTGCACGAATTGCCGGCGAGAAAGTGACGTCATTTGACATTGAGCGACTTGAAGACTGATCGTTCGCCCTTTGTCCGGGATGCGGACGAAGGGCGACTCGCCCCGCTAGAGTAATTTCATCCGCCGGGCGACCAAATGGCGGATGGAACTTAGCAATTTTTTGTGATTTTTTTCGCGGCGACTGATTACGTGGTCAGTCGTTTTTTCATATCGTGCGTGTATAGACGCGTTTATTCGCGTCGTGAAATTGGCCTCCGATGGCAAAGTTGATGGTAAGTACTGAACTGTTTGATATTAAGTGTAATTATTATTAAAAATTGATTCGCTGGATGAATCCGGCTGAGTTAAACATTCTTACTGATGCAACGCATCAATAAGGATGTTTAATTCATCCGGATTCGTCCGGCGGATCAATTTTGATGTAATTTATTGTTTTCCAAAATTGATCCGCTGGAGGAATCCGGCTGAGTTGAGCATCCTTATTGATGCGTTGCATCAGTTAGGATGCATAACTCAGCCGGATTCCTCCAGCGGATCAATTTTGGAAATTAATTACAAATTGAAATTAATTACAAATTGACAGATGAAAAATTTTGATGATTTTTTAAAATACTTTTTTTAGCCGACTGCTTAGCTTACCGATGCAACGCATGCCGATGCTGGATCCCGATGTTTATGTTTAAGGTAAAGTTAAGTTAAATTTTTATTAAAATTAAGTAAAAGTTAAAGGTATTTCAATGTTCAGTTAAATTAAGTAAGTAACAACTAAATTTAAGTTAAAATTATGTTGAAGTTAAGTTAAAGTTCGGCTAATTAAGTTAGAGTTATGTTAATTTTATGCTACAATTATGTTAAAGTAAAGTTCATGTTATGTTAAAGTTAAAGTTATGTTAATGGTAAGATAAACATTTGTTAAAACAAAAGCTAAAATTTAGTTAATGTTATGTTAAAATTAAGCTAGAGTTAAGTTAAGGTTATGTTTAAGTTAAGTTAAAGGTAAGTTACAGTTATGTTTATGTTAAGATAAAGTTAAGTTAATTTACGTTTAAGATAAAGTTAAGTTAAAGGTAAGTTAAAATTATGTTGAAGTTAAGTTAACGTTAAGTTAAAGTTAAGTAAAATTTAAGTTAACGATAAGTTAATGGTAAGTTAAAATTATGTTAAGGTGAAGTTTATTCAAATTGATGTATAAGTTATGTTAAAGTTAAATTTAAATTAAATTTATGTTAAAGTTCAAGTAACGTTAAAGTTATGGTTATGTTAAGTTATAATTAATTTAAATTCAAAGTTATGTTAAAGTTAAACTTATGCTAAAAATAAATTAAATTTATAGCGAATTTGTTTCAATTTAAGTTGAAGTTTTGCTAAAATTATGATCAAGTAAAGTTAAGTTAAAGTTAAGTTAAAGTTAAGTTAAAGTTAAGTTAAAGTTAAGTTAAAGTTAAGTTAAACTTAAGTTAAAGTTAAGTTAAAGTTAAGATAAAGTTAAGTTAAACTTAAGTTAAAGTTAAGTTAAAGTTAAGTTAAAGTTAAGTTCAAGTTAAGTTCAAGTTAAGTTAAAGTTATGTTAATGTTAAGTTAAAGTTAAGTTAAAGTTAAGTTAAAGTTATGTTAAAGTTAAGTTAAAGATATGTTAAAGTTAAGACAAAGTTAAGTTCAAGTTAAGTTAAAGTTAAAGTTATGTTAAAGTTAAGTTAAAGTTATGTTAAAGTTTAGTTAAAGTTTAGTTAAAGTTAAGTTAAAGTTTAGTTAAAGTTTAGTTAAAGTTTAGTTAAAGTTAAGTTAAAGTTAAGTTAAAAATAAGTTAAAGTTAAGTTAAAGTTAAGTTAAAGTTAAGTTAAGGTTAAGTTAAAGTAAAGTTAAAGTTAAGTTAAAGTTAAGTTAAGTTAAAGTTAAGTT